TATGATGATGGAGTCCATCCACCTTGCGGTGCATCATTCTCTTCCTCCTTTGCCTTCAGCTTTTCCACTTGTGGTTGTCTACAGTTCACAGTGTCTTCTTATAAAATGCCTAAAGTAAGACAGCTTTAGCCTGGTCAGTTCAGGCTTGATTATATTCTTAGATTTACACCAATACCAAAGTCTAAAGGCACCGATGATCTTGTTGTCCAGCAACTACATTGTACTACTTTCATATCCATAGAGACACAAAATGCAGTCTTCTGAAAAATGATTTGGTCTTTGTCTATAGAGATATGTGTCAGGTCTTTGTCTATATGTCTCAGTGTCATTCCTGGTACCATTTTGCGTGTTTGTTTCTAAGTTGTTATTCTTGTGGCTTTTCTTCAGACCTCCACTACCAGATGATGCTACCACCTCATTTTGATGAATCAAAGAAGTATCCCCTTCTCATTGATGTGTAAGGGCTTTACATACCCATGTTTATATGTCTTACATGTATATTCTGTTTATTACAAAATGACATATGAGGAACGATATTTGAATTATATAACCCATGCATTATAGAGCTGACATCATAGTGCTGACATCATAGAGTTTACAGTAAAGTTACTGTCAGTTGACTTGACTTGATTGCTGGTTCAAAATGGAAACTTAGTTATTTAATCTGCCCCCTGATGTCCCTTTCCATAGGTATGCTGGGCCATGTAGTCAAAGAGTAAATTATCAATTCAAGCTGAACTGGGGAACATATCTTGCCAGCACAGAGAAGGTTATTGTCGCTAGCTTTGACGGAAGAGGAAGTGGTTACCAAGGTGATAGAATAATGCACTCAATCTACCACCGTCTGGGAACATATGAGGTGGAAGATCAAATATCAGCCGTGAGGTGAGATAAATCACCAGGGAGAGAAACTCCTGTCCAGGAACATATTCCTAACATATTGTCAATTTACAATGCAATTGCTGAAGGCCTAATATCCAATTGATCATTTTTGTCCAACTATGAAGATCAATATATAAAAATTATATAAATATATAAAAAAGTTACATTTTAACGTAGGTCTATACATAACTTTAGAGATTCACACTTGATGTCAGGATGAATTTGAACTATAAAAATGACCTTATATCTTCCGTTTTATCTCTTGCAAACAGTGTGTGTTATAAAAACCAGCATTTATTCATATAGTCAAGAAAAGCCGCAACAATTAAACAGCAAGTTTATTTCTGATTATACTGCTGAGCCCCAGATTTCAAAATGTTTATAACAAAAGCCCTGTTTTTTGTTTCTTTTTTAGGAAATTCATTGATATGGGGTTTATAGATACAGAAAGAATAGCTATTTGGGGATGGGTAAGTTTGATAGTATGTAGAAAGTCTGTTTTTTTATGAATGAAATGGCTAAGCGCAGAATAATTAAGCTGGATGCTGAACAGCGGATTCCTTTCCAGTCTTACGGCGGGTACGTCACCTCGATGGCTTTGGGGTCCGGGAGCGGACTTTTCAAATGCGGAGTGGCAGTCGCTCCCGTATCTAGCTGGGAATATTATGGTATGTTTGATATTCCTGATTCTCGTAGGCTGCTGCCTCAAATGACATATCGGTTAATAAAACGTTAAATTCAGGGTTGCTTGGTAAACTTTTCAGACGCAGTTTACACCGAGCGTTATATGAGCCGGCCGTCCGACAATGCTGAGTACTACAAAGTGAGTCCATCAAGATTTTAAAGACTAAAGGGAATTTTATCGACAACGCAATATTCCTTCGGTGGCGTTTAATATTAATTGTCCATAATTTTTCTAGAACTCCACAGTAACACGTAGAGCCAAGAACTTCAAATCTGTGGACTACCTTCTGATTCACGGCACAGCAGATGGTAAGCGCTGTTCTTATAACGACTGCTGCCAGCACTCCTACTTTTCAGTTATGAAACATGCATCATCCCTGTAGTTTGTGTGTCTTACAGACATGAGCTTTTAAGATCAAGACCCAAGAGGGTCTACTAGTGTAACACACACCCTAAAAAAGTGTATACTTGCAAAATTGTAAGTCACATAGCATTGAGGGATCAATAGGATGATTCCAATTACCATAACCAACAAAAACCAGTAAGATATTACTGTGCCATTCCATTTCGATAATCCCATTTAATAGTTTGCAAGAAATATTGTAGTACATAAAATTTGCTTGCATCATTTAGAAAGGGTAACAAACAACCTTTATGAAAAAATGCAACAACTCATGTAGTAATATCTTTTTTTCTTGCAGATAATGTGCATTTCCAGCAAGCTGCACAGATATCTAAAGCTCTAGTTGAGGAGCAGGTGGACTTTGAAGCCATGGTAAATATCCACAGTGACGAAAAGGCCACCAGGTCCACTGACTGCAGATGGGCAGCAGGAACTGAGCAGGGCACCGTAACTGGCAGAGCTGGGAGGCTTTAATAAATCAAATAGGAAGCAGGAATGAAATTGAAATTAGTAAATAAAATCCCACAGACCTTACAGCTCTCTGTAATTAAACCAAATGACCTACTAGATGTGCAATAATAAGCCATGCAAATTTGCACTCAAATATTATTTTTACATTTTGAATATTAATATTTAATATTTTTAAATATTATTTTAATACTGTATTTCCCAACCCAGTCCTCGGGGACACAGCCGGTCCACGTTTTTGATCCCTCCCAGCTCCCGGTAAAAACGTGGACTGTCTGCGGGTTCCCGAGGACTGGACTGGGAAACATTGTTCTAATACATTATGTCAGCTTTGTATATTTACAGTCTCATTCTGATAAATGCTCAACATTATATTATGGGTGCAATTTCTTTCCTATTTTTCAGTCCTGGTCACATTTGGATTGGGAGATGGTCTTTGACATCTTATGCTAATAACTGTTCCTGTCTCTTTACAGTGGTACGCTGACAAGAACCATCAGCTAGGCGGCTCCGCCTTCCGCCACGTCTTCACCCACATAAGCCATTTCCTCCAGAAATGCTTTGTCAAAACCAAGCGGGCCGGCAGTTGAGGCATCCAGCCGGGTTGCCCAGCCCCATGCACCCCGTCCATATATAACTCATCACCAAATCTGCCTATTTTATAATACTGTGCTAATTTGCAAATGGGTTGATGGGGTTTATTTTAGTGTGTTTAGAGTTTATGAACTAGTTTTTTTTTTTTGTTCTATTTGTAATTTGTAAAACGCTTACATCCACTAACAATTATAGTTTTACGCTGATAAGTGCAGTGTTAAATTAACAAGCCAAATGTTCGAACACTACCTGCTGTAGCTGTACTATTGCACAATAACTGGCCATTCTCAATGTTCTTTATTTTTCTATGTTCTGGTAAGATACCACATGTACTTTTTGTTTAAGAATCAATAAACTGCTACAGCTGTATTTGTTGTTCTGCATTCTTAGTTATTTACACTTACAGTAAAGGACACTTTTATCCAAAACAGGATACATTTCAGAGTGAACAGTGTCGCCCAATCCCCAGTGGTACATGGGGTTTAAGTGCTTTACCCACGGGCCTGACAGCAAAGTCATTTTGCCAAGCCTGGGGTTTGAACCAGCACCATTCTGATCTCAGGCATTTTTTTTTTTATTATTTATTAACTGATTGGCTGAGTGAAAATACATTATTGGGTAACACTTTACATTAACTGCACCTTCATAATGCTTTTATATTGCATTCATAAAACGTTCAGTACACCTTCATAATGTATTCATTCAGTATTCATAAAACATTCATAAATCATAAATTATGCTTATGTATGTATACCTTAATATCCTTTAACAGCTGTAAAATACATTAATAACATTATAATTGTATTATAACAATGTATATTAAAGCTGTTAGATGTTAGAGTATTAAGATGTACTTGCATGCTGCTTATGAATGTTCTACGAATGCATTATGAAGGTGCACTGACTGCTCTATGGATGCATAATGAATGCATTATGAAGGTGCACTTAATGTAAAGCATTACTCATTGATTCAGAATCTAAATTTCCTTAATCCACCAGCAAGGGAGTATAAGACTACAATAAAACAATGAATAGGATCAGATTGAATAAAAATCAAACTGAAATGCGGGTCTGGAGCCTATCCCTCGTACACCCTCGATGCGATGCTAGTCTATCACTGAGCATACACACGTACTGTATATAAAATGAGCAATTTAGAGACACCAATTAACTACATGTCTTTGGACTATGGGAAGAAACACCACACACGCTAAGATAGGGTTTAAATCCCAACCTGAAGTCACAGTGCTACCCAGTGAACTTATGAGGAGAGGTTAGCTGAGCTGAATCTGAGCCATTAGTTAAGTTCTCCCCAAACGAGTTTTTAATTATGAAGAGTATTTGAGAATAAGCACTTTAGCATTTATTTAATTGATCTTGTTTTGATCTATTTGCCTTTGTGCCACAGAAGATGTGCCACAGCTATTTTTATTAAATAAAAATGCAACACATTTTATCTGCATCACAAATGTGTAATAATGGGTTAATACATTTAAAATCCCCTGTAGAATGTGAAACAAAAAAAGCTTTTACGCTACATTAATTGTACTTTTTTGTTGCACTGAACAAATGTACAAGTTGACACCAGAGCCTGATTGATAGGGGGGGGGGGGGACCCAGTCATGTTTTCCTACATAAAACCTACAATTAGTCAATCAGCTTCTCGATGGCAGCGAAAACCAGACATATTTCGGAAATAAGGCTTTTTCTTTGCTTTTTAACAGGATGCCATCCTGTTTGATTTCTACACGTAAGTAGCAGGTCTTATCACCTGTGGGGATGGGGATGTCCAGTCTAAACAAAGGAGCACTAAAATTATCCACTGTGCGCAGGAGAGCCTTGTCTAATGTATTGAAAGTAACGAATGAGCTAAACGACTTGCGAGGGGCGTACCACTTGGGTGGACTGTCATGGGAATGCACTATATAAGGATGGGCTCTCCACAAGGAGACTAGGAATCTGCTCTGGGGAGCCAGACAAGAGTAGCCAACAGAGGACTCTACGCGGTAGTGGTCTCTCGCTTCCTCTCTGACAGGGACACAGGTGAGCCTCCGGAAGAGTCTCAACCAAACCACTCGGACCGGGGAACCTGAGGCGGTAACGTAGCACGTGTGGAGAGAGAGTACTTATTACCGCACCTCTTTGGGGAGGAGAGGGCATAAATTCTTGCCCACTTGCCTGTTTGCTTTTGAAAAACAATGAAACTAACCTTTAGTTTAAAAAAAAAACACACAAATATAATTCAGGATTTTAGCAATTAAATTTTATCAGTTTACAACAAGTTACTCGTAGGTAATTTTTTCATAGCTGATCATTGCTGCATTCTTAATGATGCTCCGAAAGTTACCCGGGCAGGTGCCCCGGCGGCCCCCCCCAGGTTGCATGTTCCACTTGTGACAGTTCATGTTCCTCCGCGGCAGCTGAATTTCGCCAGGAAGCAAGATGGCTGGCATATGCTCAGTGGCTGGACTGCTGCTCCTCATTACCATCCAGAGCAGCTGGCAGCGCCCCCTGCAGGACACAGACGACAGCCCCAGGTGAGCTGCGCTCCTTCTCGGGCTTCGGACACACGTCAAAGGCCACATATGGGAACATTTATGTGCTTTTCACTGTGTCCTTAGCATATTCGTATATATTTATACATTACACGTGTTTCACATGTTGTTAAACATTGCATGCATATATGCAACTTTCCTTAAACATTACATGTATGAAACTTCACAAAATAAAATGTTAATTTGTATATTACCATCTTCATACAGCACACATATTTTGGATTTTCTTATAAAATATATGCGTAAAATGAAATAAGCATATTCGCACAGGATGAATTTTATTGTTTTTATTTGATGCTGATATATATTTAATGTGAATGATACATATTTAAAGTGATTCTTTAGTTAAGAATCTTAATTAACAAATTCAATAATTAGTATATTATAGTATATAAATACAAGAGTATAAAAATATAGTTATTATATAGTATATAAATACAAGAACACATATTATATGCTCTTTTTCATTTATATATTTATATAAATATGTCAAATGACTGCTTAGTTGTGAAACTTAATTCATTAAATTAAATGCTGCAGCTACCTGACAGAGGACACAATGTTAAACGAAGCAAAGGAGCTTACAGCTGCAAAGAGACACTCGCAAGGCACATTCACTAACGATTACAGTAAATATCTGGAGACAAAACGAGCGCAAGACTTCGTTCAGTGGTTGATGAACTCCAAAACGAATGGGTGAGTCTTTCACCGGGGAATCCTATGTTCATATGGGTTGACAAAACATTTTGTTTTGATTTGTGGATTTGGGTAAATTATAAATATCAATAAATAAAACAAAGTTGTAAATGTAAAATAAAAAATCTAATATATGGGGAATGCACTACGTAAGAAAAACAAGGTCATTGTGTATTGTTAGAATCTGGATTTTGTGGTAATTCATCATTTTCATAGGTCTGCTCTGTAATACTGAGTCATTTTAGACATTTAGAACAATCTGAACCACAATGACATGTAGGAAAACCTGACCCATGCCTTTGGTACTTTCCCGAAGCCACCCTAGTAAATTAAACTGTATTTCTTACTTAAAATGGCTTCTCCCAAATAATTATCAGATGTGACTTTCAGAAAATATCATATGAAAAAAGCAGGTGAATCTTCTTAAGACTGTTGGCACTAAAGAAAATACAGCACCTGATAAAACCAGGCAGGAAGACTCTACCTTTTCAAATTGTTTAAAATAATCCAAGGACAAATTTTCATTATGAAAGAAACATTAATTTTGACAGAAAAAAAATCATTGAGCACTGTACATAATACTGTACACACCCCCACTCCCCACTGTATTTTTGCACTGTAGGTCCCATACCTGAAATATTTGATCAGAACAGAATGGGTCTTACAGCTACTTAGCAGATGCTCTAGAGTCATAATACTGTGGCAAGCTTTTACAATAACAATTTACAGTATTTAAATACCACTTAAAAAACAGACAAAACTTTAACACAAAGACCCCTGTCATGTGTACTTTATTAGGCATTATCAAACTACAGGAGTGTCCCTGGCAGGTATAACCTCAGATACTCCATTCTTTCCTAGTGGTCCTGCGAGACGGCACACTGACGGCACCTACACCAGCGATTTCAGCTCATACCTGCAGGACCTGGCTGCTAAAGAATTTGTCTCATGGCTGAAATCAGGACAAGGCAGAAGACAGTAGGCTGTTTGCTTCTAAACGAGTGACCAGCTTCTCCCTCCCTGTCTAGATAAAAGATAAAATTAGCTCTTGCATAATTATCCTGTACGGTAACACCCTTTTTATGACCTGTACTGTTATTTCACTGGTCATTCAAATAAATATCGTGACTTTAAGCTCTGACTTTTTTTATATCCATGGTAATCAAGTCTGTGGTCCAGTTCTGCCAATGGTTAACGCTCAAAATTTGGTATATTAACCCTGTATTACACCTGGTCTGCACAAGCACACATCAAGCCAACGCTGTTTTTGATCCAATACTTATTACTTAAATGAATGTTTTTGATAAAGTACCACCTACACTATTGTCCAAAATTGTGGAAACACTTCCAGTTTTTAGAGATTGCTGAACTTTATTCAACTGTTGCTCCGGTTACTTATTTAATTGGCTATTGTATGATATTTGAAACATTCTTTGATTGTTTGTAAGCATTATTCGTGTGGCAAAGCGTATCGCCAAAAATGCCAGGTGTTTCCACAATTTTGGCCACTAGTCTAACTGTCAAGACTGTCACTTGGAGAATGACCCCAGAGCACAGCAGAAAATGCCCCGCTCTAAAGCAAAATATCTCGTCAATACTCAGTTTTGCAGAGGAATGGAGCCAGGTTGATGCAAAGCAGAGAAGACACGTAGATGGGAGCTTCACCAGTGATCTACACAAGATTCTAGACAGCATTGCTGCTAAGGAATACATACTATGGGTCATGAATTCTAAGCCTTCAGATGCAAGGTAACCGTGTGTTCATCTAAGACCACATTACAATACATATCTCAAAGATACTGAGTGTAAAACCTGGAATAGCATGTACTATGCAAATTTACAATGTAAATACATCCTTATTTACATGCAAATTAGTCAAATTAAACATGTTGTTACAATGTAAACATGATATATTTTATGAATCAATAACAGTATATTCATTTGTTTTTCAGTGCCCCCAAAAATGGGTATAAGTGAAAGAAGATGCACTATTCCTTGTTTAAGAGAACCTGTATTTTACCTGAAATGCCTTTAAAATCTGCATCCTACAAAAATACCTAAAGCCATATTGCTTAGCCATGCAACGAAACGACACAGTGACGGTACAATTCTTGAAAACTTTTATGTAATGTTTTAGTTTTATGTTATGAATAATGTATCTTCCAAAGATCCCATTAACAAAGATTTTTCTATGAGACATTATTTTGTATGTAGCTACTGAAGAAAAACGAACACCACTAAAAACTCAGGTTACTTCGCCGGGCTCGCTGGCGACTGCCATTAAAATCTTGTACATTTTAGAACATAATATCAAAACGAAGAACATGCTTTATTGTTGTATTGCTCTGCAAAATAAACTTTTTTCATGACATCGATCTATATTCATCAACGCTTCTTTATTCGTAAATATATACACCCCGATGTCAAAATACAATGGTTAATTTTTATCAATAAAAGTTGTCAACGTAACTTCCTTACAGAGAGCAATAGTGTAAAGAGAGATACTCCGATCACCACATGGAGACCGTCGAATATACTGAGATCTAATGAGCGTCTTCTTGCTGTAATTATGTAGCGATCTGTGTTAATAATGCCAGTCTCAATACCTTATACTCCACGTTACCGTGAGGTGTTTAACTACGAATCGCTACAGTCAATTCAACAATCCATAACCGTAATCGGGGATTAGTCGTGAGGCTGCATGCTTCTGCTCTTACCGGAGGAGACTGCAAACTGCAAACGGCAGCCAAGCAGCACGCCTTGGGATGCTGGTACCTCTCAGCTGTCATATGACGCCTCCAGCCATCTGTGGGTAAATCCCAGGATGCAACTCCCCTACAAATAAATGCTATTTAAAGTAACTATTTTTAGCTATGCTCAGAGGACCGTGCGTTTGGTTTGGTCTTTCCAAATTGTGTCACCTGTCTGCTGCTAACAAAACGTTTTCCTAAATGCCTGTTCACTCTGCCTACACTCCTTAGTTTTCATTGCAAAACTGACATGTTTTCTCTTGCGGTTTGGAAAGTCAGGGGATTGATATTGGTTTGCACTTCGATTGATGTAGGCCTATAGGCCTACCGGTGCCACATGTGCTTCCACAATAGCAGGATTGGGTTGGTGGATCATAATTATAATATGTAGGCCTAGTAATATTTAATTAAAGTCAATATATTAACCTATTATATAACAGATAATATATAATTATACTCGGTATAGATATAATGCAAGATGTTCATCCGTGCCTATATCCGTGCCCCGTACGCTGAACATTGCATTGCCGCGTGGTACTTCTCTTAGCAGATATATCGGGTAAATAAAAATAATGCTGGAAATCTGCCCATATGTCGTAGGTTCTGTGGCCATTATTTCATCGTAGCAAGATAATTCATTACAAGCTAAAACGAGTCCACAGTCTTAGAGGTTTTGTTAAAAATTCTGCTGTTTGTCCCATCCTACTGGACAGGGTGGCCAGCCTTGTGAACTATAGACAATTAAATATTTATTTTAACTTGAAATCTGGCGATCATTAAACAGATTTGTTAACTTGTTTAATAAATTTCAGCATATTTTTTGTTTAAATACTAACATATTTGTTGTTTAAATATCGATATCAGCTTCAAAAGGCTGGCACGAGTTAGCAAGCAGCAAACAATAGTGACGATAATTTTTTTTTTTGCAGTTTGACTAAATTCCCTGGGGCACCATATGTATCTTTTTTTAACAATCAGTTTTTTATATTTAAAAAAAATTCCAGGTTTCGCAGGCATCGCAGAACAACACTGCAACGGGAAAGGTTACGGCATTAACCGATTCACGCAAGCTACGTTGGAGAGATCGTCAATTTTGAGTTCAATGTATATTTGACCATCTGTTTCTGGTTTGGGAAATGGGGGCGCTTAGATCCTTTCTAAGACGTATGGCACAAGGGAGGGGAACAGCGCAGAGGGGATGCCAGCCCTTTGAAGGGCACGTACACCTGGAAGGCAGCTGGGAGGGAGCAGAAACCAGGACCGGCTGGGGGTCCCTGGGGACTGGGTTGAAAAGCACTGGTTTAGAGACGCCCAGTAGCCTTATTGTGTATGTAGCTATGTCTAACGTGAAAAATTCCACACGGACAAAGCAGGGATGGGATTCAAACCCACAGCATCGGAGCTGAGGCAGCAGTCCACCCCAGAGCCATCTTGCTGCCCTCATGTTCATATATTTGCTTTAATTTCTTTAGTTTCCTTGAAAAATGTTGTGCCAGTTTTTTTTTCTTTTACTCCATTACAGACATGCTTGCTGCTGACAGAGACTACCGGAATCAGTGGTTGCCTGCCTTAAACTTAAATACAAGTGGTATCCATCCTTCCATCAATCCATGCATCTGTCCATCCATTTTTTATATCCACTTGTCCTATACAGGGTTGCGGCCGTCCAGAGCCTAAAGCTACAGGCACAAGGCAGGGAATAACCCAGGATGGGTTTTCTCCACCCTTTAGATAGATGACAGGCTGCCTTTGGAATATTTCTCTGAAATGAGACCTATTGCCGTTGTGTTTATGAATTTCCTGCTCGTGGGTGGGAACACGGACACAGAGCAGTACTTTGCCATACTTAAGGTGGTCATAGTCATCTGGCAAAGCAACATGGCAGGATTAGCATCTGTGCCGTTATCTGTCTGTATCAATTTTCTGTCGCCTATGGCTTTGGGTGGGATGCTGTAAAGCGCTTTGAGACAATGTAATGTTGTGATAATGCGGCAACAAAAATATACATTAATTATTATTATTATTATTATTATTATTATCAATCCTGTTGTGTTCCCATCTGGCCAGCAGAGGTCTCTGCTGGGCAATCAATTTCCTCCCTTGTTCCAAATCATTTGTACTTGTCCCTCTTCTGATCCTTATTACCTCTGTATATAGGTTTCTGGCTGTGTATTGTTCTTGAATGTGGTCATTGTTAGTGCTGTAGATGTTAGTGCTGGTGCTCTGTGTTGGTTCCCGCTCGTAGTTAATCCTAGTGTTCCCTTTTGTTGCTTACCTGTGTTTGGGTCAGCCCTAATCCAACCTGAGTTATCCTCCCTGCCTTCTGTTTTGACCCCTGGCAGTCCTCTATTTATTAAGTGTTGTATGCTTTGTCTGTTCCCCTTTGGTTACCCTTTGCTGCGTTCGGACCATCAGTCCTTCCCTGTCTTCACTCGTGACAGTCTGCGGGCGGGCAGAATCCACTGCGTTGTTCTGTGCCGGATCGTTACTAGAAACTCGTCCCATTGCGGGGTTGCACGTTCCTCTCCATTTTTGGATTTCCCCTGGACACGTGATAAGATGCATGAGTATGGCCAAGCTTTGCACTTGCAAAGCGTGAACAAGATCAAGAGTCTAGGGAGAGCCCTGAAACAAAACAGGACACGTATGTCTAGTACATATTCATCTTCGAGCACGTCATTTTGGTTATGATGGTTTTCTCTTTCCCACAGTCATTTTGCTGGACTCTGCTGCTCCTTGTTCTTTTCCTATGGTGTTTAATTCAGTTTATATGCAGTAGACTATTTATTTCTCTCTATTGTCATTTTTGTTTTATAATAATTCACGGTAGCGCGTTGTGTAGCTTTATAGTAACAGCGATGAGTGTGCACTTTTATTATTGTGCGATCGATTGTGCTGCAGAACAGTCTGTGACATGGTAGGAAACCCTGTGAGGCACGAATACACGAATAGAAAATTCACTCTTGAAATTATGTATATTTAATACGTTGAATAAGTGCGTGAAGCAATGTGTGTTTCACTTTGTGATTTGTGTTGTGATTCTCCCCCTTGCAGTGATTGGATGGACCTGGTAGCTTGTTTAATGAGGTAATACCCCAGAATTGAGTCATGTGACTGCGAGACCCACCATTATCCCAAACTCAAGAGGAAGAGTGGGTATCAAAGATTGCTGTTTTAGCCTTAACAAATGATAAACCAACAGGAGAACATAAAGAGCCAGAACATACCCTTAAATATCAATGTGTCACGGAGCATGTCCCCAGACCTTGCCCCCTCCCTCGGGACGTCTGTTCCCTCCCCTCCCTCAAACATACATTACGACATTTCCAGGTGCTACTCTCCCTTTTGTGATGTTTTGATTTATTCGTTTATTTAGAGCTTTTGCCAAAGCATGCATGTCAATCAAGCAAGAAGAAGGAGGTCCACCTTTAGGTGCGTCTCACCCATATTTCTCTTACATCTGAAGCATGAACTAACCATTATCAATGATCCCATCATTGATGCTGACTCTTGCACTGAACTCCTGTGGTTTTCCTCTTCAGGCAGAGATAGAGTCTTCTCCACTGCTTTAAGGGACCTCTTGGAAGCCGGGCTGCCAGTCCTGTAACACTGTTGTCATGTACGAGGGACCAAGAGACTGCAGAAAAAGCCTGTTACTGGCTGAGATTCCATACAGCTTACAATGATCCTCCTTGAGATACAAATGAGCAGAAAACCAGGTGAAAATGAGAGCATCAGTGCTTGCACTCTTTTGCAGAAACATTTCTTTTGCGCTGAGAGACGCTGAGTGGTTAAACTATGCGATATAGGCACTTCTGGCTTTGTGGCTGTCTGTGGGGAAATATAAGGGATACAATGACTGCGAGAGGGTCATACTGTCCAGGACCTCATCCTGAGGGAGAGTCCCTGTCTACTCAATGACCGTCTTTCTAGTCAAGGTGTCAGAACCTGTAATAACTTTCACGTGGAGATCAGTGTTCACGCCTCGGAAAACCTAGAGCCGAGATCAGCGGAACTTGCCACATTGGCTCATCTCAGCAGGTCTGGGTTTCGAACATTATAGACTGGATGTGTCAGTCATTACTGGTTGAATTTTGGTCTTTGCCAATATCTGAACCTTCCCCAAGGTAAAATAATTGCCTTTCTTGGGATCTCCGACTTCCCAGGTTGTTGTTGTGTTTGGTCCAGAGAATTAGAGCTACGGAACTCCACTGTGAAACAACGGGCATTTCTGTAAGCATTAATTGATTAATTTCTGTCGGTCCTTCCATTTC